AAGGAAGAATTTCTTTACTGTCCAAGCCCCCAAGGTCTGGAACAGCCTGCCATCGGAGGTGGTTCAGGCACCTACTCTGAACACCTTCAAGAACAAATTGGATGCTTATCTTGCTGGGATCCTATGACTCCAGCTGACTTCCTGCCCTTCGGGTGGGGGGCTGGACTCGATGATCTTCTGAGGTCCCTTCCAGCCCTAATGTCTGTGAAATCTATGAAATCTACAGCACCGAACTAATCCTTGCAGCCCCAGTGGGTTAGCACTGTTACCTGCTTTTTACAGACAGGGAAACTGAGGCACAGAGGGGAAAAGACTCCTCCAGCATCCCACCAGGAGCCAGCGGCAAAGCTGGGGTTAGTATCCAGGAGTTGCTGGCAACCTGCCCTGGGCTCCGACCACTGAGCCAGGCTGCTCTTCTGCACTGAGAGGTGAGGAAATGTGTTGCTCTGACTTTAAATGGGTCAGAAGCTCAGAGCAAACACAGCCGCAGCTACTGCCTCACAACCAAATTAATGAAGTCTTCCCTTTGGGTGCACTGTTCTCCCTTTCCATCTTTGGCTGCAACTGCAAGGACCTGAAGACTTTCACCTCCTGGAACGAGATGGCTCTGAGCAGGCCTGATCCTGCCATTTCATACCTCCAAACTCCCCCACTGACGTCAGTACAAAAAATTCAAGGCTCGGGCTCTTCGCCCGACCACGGGAGTCACCCAGTACCACGCGCCCGGCAGAGCCGACAGCAAGAAGAGTGTATTGCCCCATCTCCTACCTGGCCTGGCTCAGGAGGAGGATTTCAAGCATGTGGTTTCACATACGCTACTTCTTCCTTCTGGAGGTCTCAGAAGATGCCCCCCTCCCTGCATTTACACAGCAGCTGACCAGGGGCATCTGCCTGCAAGATGTGGCTCACGCACAACAGAGCATGTTCCCAGCCCCATCGGCATCAGTCCAACGACACTTTAATGAAAGCTGAGAACTAGCCCAAGGCAGTTTAAGGTTATCAACATGTTTAGCATGTCCTAACCCTCAAAACAAAGCCCAGCCACTGGCACAGCAGCCTGGCTGTCACTTGGCCACTGTCCCACCGGCAGCCCAGCCCTTCCTATGATCAGACAAGCTGCGAGGGGAAGGGAAAGCTTTTGGAGAATTTGATGTATTTGGGGGAACATTGCATCCTCTCCCTTGCACTCTGAAGCATAGACACTGTCTCTGCAAGGCCTCACTGGGGATGAATTAAATCATGGGCTTTGCAGGTGACCAGAAGTGATGCCGGAGAGGTTAGTAACTGCGCATTGTTAGCACTCTGGTAGCTGTGGCTGCAGCATCTCTGGTTGGGATCTGAGACAGTAGCTCTTTTCTATCCTTAGCAGGGGGTTGAACGAAATGACCTTTTGCAGCCCCTTCCCACTCTATTCTCCATGATCAAGGCTTGCCAGGATTTAGAATCACAAAATCATAGAAAATGAGGGTTGGAAGGGACCTCAGGAGTCCAACCCAGCAGGACCAGCCCCACCTAGATCATCCCAGCCCCCGCTTAAACCTCCAAGGATGGAGCCTCCGCCACCTCTCTGGGTGAAATATGATGAAAGTGGAGCAATATCTTTCACTGGTAACATCTGCAGACTGAGCTGATCACTTGAAAGCAGACAAGCGAGGACACAAGTCCACACAGCGTGCCGGCCGTGCCTCTTTAGGTGAGATATTTAAACCATGAGCATGTAGGTGTTTCCAACCAAGTTCAGACCCTGCGTTGCATGGGTTGGCCATGGTCTGGTCTCTGTTCTGTTTGGCTGAATTTGCCACCCTGTACTGCTCTCACCCCAGACCCAATAGCCTAATTACTCCCTGAAAATAATGGTGTGACACCTGCCAGGAACGCTGCATCTCTTGCTTGGTTCTCCTTGAAGAAGGCAGAATGGGGGCACCTCAGGGCCCACCTGGACTCAAGAGACATGAGCTTTCTGGGCAACAACCTACTTCATCAGATGCTGTGAAAAGATGGGCAAAAAGAAAGGGCTCAATATAGAAGGGAAAGGGACAGGTAAGGAGTGGATTGACTGGAGCAATTGAGGTGGGAGGTGGTCAACACCTTGAGGGCCAGTGGCCTTAACAGTCCAGGTAATGAGATCAGTTGGCTTTTCAAGGCCTTTTGTTGACGGCCTCTCTGAAGTCAGGGATGGAAGGTCCCGGGGGGTCAACCACGGACTTTTATATGTTTCTGGAATAAATGAATCGGTGTTTGGTCATCGTTTTACGCAGGAGCGGTCCCATCTGGCCGAGGTGGGTCTGCATTGACTGCCTGGTTTATCTCAATCGATCCAGTCAACCCATTCTTTACATCTCTTCCCCTCTCCCTCCTATAGGCGAACAGGCTAAATTCCCACTAAGGCAGGTTACTGGGACCGTGTCCAACATGACGGCTGCTATCCCTTGCAGGATAGGAGGTCTTTGGGTGTCTCTCGGTGGGACTGCACAGGACCTGCCAACCTCAAACATGCCATCAGAAGGGATTTGCTTTGAACTTGTTCCATCTTGAAACCTCTGGTTCTGCGGGCAGACCTAAGACACCAGGTACCAGCAAGGTTTCCATCCCGCAAACACCGACCCAGGTGATTGCTCCCATGTGTAACACTGGGGTTCAACACAAAACAAAGAGGCTGCACAACAAAGACATCTGACAGGGCCTGGGGTGCCAGCGGCTAATTACAGACAACAGGGGTCATTTAAAATGTCTCTTTTGCCCTTGATGTGGATTTGAGGTTTACAGGGCACAGACCCAGCAGGAAGAGAGGAGCAGTTCTGCTCCTGGATGTATCTTTTTTTCTTTCAACCCCAAACAACATCCAAATAAACCCTGTGTTTAGTGTTGGCAGAAGGAAGCATGTTTCTTATCTAAACACATAGGATAAGCTGGTGTGCTACACAGTTGTGCCAACTACGTTTCCCTGCTGTTCCTCTTTCCTTGGCACAGGGGAGGTGTATGCATGTGTTCAAAGGACACGCGTGTCTCAGGACGGCACTGGACACTTCCGTTTCCAAATCTCTCTCCTGATAGCGAAAACGCTGCATGGGACCCAGGACAGATCCCTCTGCCATGACATCTCAGGTTTTATTCCAAGTCTCATAGATATTTGCTGTTTGCCCACAAAGGCCCAGCTGCTGGAAGCACGTGAGGATCAGAGAGGTCCTTCCACAGGGTTTCTAGCTCTTTTTGATGCATGGGAAAGTGCAAGGAGGTGATCTAAAAGCACCGAAAAGGCCTGGAATTCAAAAGGGAAAGCAAAGGAAACCAGGGTTATCTTTATTTTTTTCAGATCATGTGGTTTTTTAAGGCCGGCTCATCGTTTTGAGATCTGACACGTGATTTCTGAGGGCTTGAGGCTGGGGACCTGACATCAGCTACACTCCACAGTGACGCCGAGGTGGGAGGTATAGGTACGATCCCCAGCGACACACGTGCCTCCTGGAACGTCTCTGAAGGAATTGGTCTAGAGGGTACAACCCAGCCCCGCTTCATTT